AGTGGGCTGAGTTGCTCAGGTCTCCACTTCACCATTGACCACGGAGGCAGCCAACGTTGTGTAAGTAGGATTTGGACAGCTGTAGTCAGGCAAGGTGAAATCCATGCTATTAATATATTTTACACATTTTTAAAAGTCCTCTCCATCCCCTACGTTGGACCAACCTCCACTTCTGGACAGCAGTGACCTTCCTATGGTAAAACCAGCTGGTCACAGAGAGATCTGTCTTGAAGAAGAGACACAAATTTAGCAGCAAAATCCACCTTTTCACCAGTTCTGCCACTGCATCACATCATGAGCCAGCCGTTGCCCATCTTCTGCCTTGTTCCCCACATCTGATGAGATAAATATTAACCTACCTCATCACTATTTGTACTGCTGTGACTCTTGGTCAAGATGTAGGGATGACATGATTCTCAGTCTCCAGGGACCTTAAAAGGCAGAGAGGCAAAATGAAAGAGGGAAGCAGAATGACGTGCCACAAGTCAGTGGGTCCGTGGCAAAGCCAGGCCTCCAGAAACCCAGTGCCCAGGCATCTAGGATCCCAGAATTTAAATATTTTCCAAGCATCAGTGGAGGGAGGAGGTTTAGCGCTCACAGCGTGTTTTGTTATCTGGGTCTCCAGATATCTGTAGGAAATCCTACTTGCTATTGGGGTTCCTCACCAGGGCTGGCTTTAGGGATGGTGGGTTACAAAGCTGCCCGGTGGGGATTTACTGGTGCTCCCATTATCATGACGTGCCAGTGTGGGCTTCTTGGCATGGAAGGAAAAACAGGCCATGGCTTTCTCACTCTGCCATGGTGGCTATACCCAACCATGGAGACCACAGTTCAGAGAGCGAAGTGCGGGGCAGACAGCGAGTAAATTGTAAGTGGGGCAGGTTAACCATCTTCCAGCAAGAGCTAGTTCCAGTTGCAATTTGTAACAGCAGATTGTGAATCGGATTTTACTAGTGGGAATTCAAATATTAAAGAGGGAAGAGGCAGAATGCACTTTGGTCCTCCACCAAAAATAAGCAAAACGTTCCGCCCGGCGAGGAGCCTTCCCTGGCTCTGTGTTTGCTCCCGGTGAGGATGATCTTCCCATCCTGGAGCCATAATGAATCTTCTCCATGTAGGGCAGAGGGGGAAGGAGAACACGGGAAATGACACACAGAGTATTTGAGAAGTGTGACGGTTTGCATTGCACCAGCCTGCCGGTCTTCCTGCCTGCCTGGATCTCTCCAAACCTTCTCCCTTTGTCCCTGATCTCTTTACATAGACTTCTCTGGGGTGGAAACACCCTGGACGTGCCTTTTTTTGAACATGGGCAAGCGCAGCTGTTCCCTCTCGTGACTAACCGCACCGCGAAGCAGTCATGTTTCTAAATCCAGCTCTATTTACACACTCAAGTGGGCCCTGAAGATGCCAGCTGGGCCAATCCCATGAGTAAGCAAGACAGGACCAGCTTGCAAGGTCTTCATAAGGCATTCCAACCCCGTGACGATGAGGCCTTCTGCATCTCCCCTCACCCCCTTTTCCCCACGATAACTGAAATTACCCACCTCCTTTCGCAGCAGGCTTATGGGGGCTGAGGAATTAGCCCCGCATCTGCGAGCACGGTCAGGGCTTTATTCTCCTTTTTGACAGCCAGGGCGGAGGACCTTCAGCTCCTGGGGAAGTCATGAACCAAAAGCGATGTTTGCTTTGCTGGTGTGGGAATGGGAACTGTGGATAAATCTGAGCGAGGCAGGTTGCAGCTCCGCCAGGACTGAGACTTGGTGTCTGCCACTGAGGATTCACAACCCTGCAACCTGGGCTTCCCTCAAAACTTCTCCCTGGGCACTGAAGAGCAAAGAAACCAAAGCCACACTGCTGTCACCCCCACCAAGGGCCAGATCCTGCTCATTGTAAAGCATATATCTAAATGACTATCCTAATATTTGGGAGGGAGATGGAGCAGCATGGATGAGCTTAGCCAGGTTTTGACATCAGGCAACTGTTGGGAGAAAACACGGCAGATTTGGGCAGCCAAATGCCAGCAATCCCACATCCCTAAAAGCCTGTGGCAGCCTTTTTACTGACTCTAATGGACTGCAAAATCTGGCCTTAAAAGGGTTCAGTGGCAACACTGATAATAGATAACTAATCTACAGTAGGGATGGGAATAGCTTCTATACACCCAGCCACCTTTTGATCAGCGTTAATTAAAAGCAGTTGGCGTCAGAGTAAGTGGCAACGCTGCCTGCTGAAGAAATCAATACAATCCTGCTTGTGTGTGTGTGTGTGTGTGTGTGTGTGCGTGTGCCTATGACGAAGTGGATTATCTCCATCCTCCCCAAATAGCAGCTGCAAAGCAAAGAGGAAAAGGGAGAGTGGCTGAATTTGTACCTTCAGGTAAAGTTGCCTGGTGCTTCCTGGTGGGAGGGGCAGAGGCTTTGGGGGATGTTTAAATCTCTCCCCAGGGACAAAGGGAGGGGAGATTAGCTGGACCCCTGGAAGGGATGTGTGTCCTGCTCCTTCCTCCCCCCTCCACCCCCCCCGGTTTGCTGGGACCCCCGCGCCGGGCCGGGCGCTGGTGTCTGAGGGGTCTCTGCGTGCGTGTGTGTGTGTGTGTGTGTGTGTTCCAGTCTGCAGTGTGAGCAATTCCACTTGAAAAGACAGAGAAATCCCCTCCTTTGAAAGTCTCAGTGTTTGGTTCTTTCCAGTAATGCTATAATTGGATGGGATTTTCTCTAATACAGAGGGAAAGTCCTTAAGATGATTTTTCACACACCACCACCCTCCTCCTTTTCCTTGTCCTACCTTGTGCAATAAAACTCCCTTCTCTCTCGCCAGCCCCTTTGGCTCCTCTGGGGTGGGGGAGCAGCTGAAGGAGGTGGGGGACACACACACACATTTGGATTTAATACACTCAATAGAGTTGCAGCATGGACACCACGGGGATTTGCTGGGAGAGCCGGAGAGAGCATCCGTTCCTCCTCTGGAAGCAAGCGAGAAGCCGCTCAGATCAACTCGAGCTTGACTACACGGGGCGATTAGATCTCGGAGCACTTGCCAGAGCTCACATTTGCAATCACTTGTCATCCAACCCTAAAGAAAATAATCAGGGCCCGACCCCTGCCAAATTCCCAATGATTTAAATATCCCCGAATGAACTGCATTTCTAGTATAATTTCACTAGAATGAATATATCTCTCCATCTAGCTAAACACAAACATATCTTTATATATATGCATAAAAAGCTCTGTGTGTGTAAATAGAAATATTCCCGACTAAGGGAAAATATATATGCAATTCTTAATGAGAAAAAGAGCGCATTTTGATTTGAGCTAATGCAAGGTTGCAAGCCTTTCTCCAACAAAGTCATTAAAAATTGTACCTCTCTTTGTTCCGTCTGAGCCACAGAAATTTTCTGATTCACAGATAAAATAAAAGAAAATCAAATAAGTAAATAAAATCTCATCCAGTTCTCTCTCTTTCCAAAAATAAAAATAAAAATAAAAATAAGTGACAAACATCAAAAAAGCAACAGGCAGCAGCCACAAAAGCAGAAACAACAACAAAAAAAAATCAGATAAAAGAGAATCATCGTTGTTATGCCAGGGAGAAAACTTTTCCCAGCTCATCCAGTGACTCCATCCTCCCATTTTTGCCTCCCCAGCCCCTTTCAAATGACCCAGGGTAAAGAGAAAGCCTGTCAGCTGGGTGACACTTGCTCACAGATATATCAAGCTTTAAACAATATGTTCCAGAGAAGCAATAAATCTAACTGTGTACTCAGACTCGAGCAGCTACATCTTAATAATAATAATAATAATAATAATAATAATAATAATAATAATAATAATAATAATAATAATAATAATAATAATAATAATAATAATAATAATAATAATAATTTTTTTTCATTTTTCTTTTTTCTTGTTTCCACCCCACCGAAATCCTGCAGATTTTTGGAACAGCGCGATCCACCCCAGCTCACCCCCCACCACCGCCACTGAAAGGAGAGAAATTGTTACAATATGTAGAGAGAGAAATTAAAAAAGAGATCAATTACTAGTGCCCTGTGGGGTGGATCTGGTGGATGAAGTCGTTTGCAGCAGCGCCTTCGCAAAGTCCGGGGCCGGGACTCCTGCAAATTGTGATGATCTGGATGAGCCTTACTGAGATTTGCATGGAAGAAGTTGATTTCTTAGCAGATGTCTTCAGTGGAGCTCTTGGATATCTGGCTGGTTGGACTGGTGGGGAAGGGGTATGCGTGTCTGGGGGGGGTGTGCATGTCTGTGTGCGTGCGTGCATGTCTGGGTGTAAATCCTCTTTTTTTTTTTTTTTTTTAATGAAAAAAGGAAGGGAAAAAAAAAAAAAAAAAAAACAAACAAAAACAACAGAAAGTTTCTAGAAAGTTAGTTCAAATGTGTCCTGACCGTCACCGTGAGGAAAGAGGGGTTTGAGAAGAAGAGAGAATGGCAAGAAGAGGCAAATCAAGAAAATAATAATTTAAAAAAAAAGAAAAACAAACCTTCACACATTTTTTTTTTTTTTTTTTTTTTTTTGCATTTTAGTAGCTTCGACCCAGGGAGTGAAATCCGGGCAGGTTGTTATAGCTACCCAAATCCACAGGGGTCCCCCCTGTCTATTTAAACCCCCTAAATCTTCCTTCCCCTTTTTAAAACTACATTTTATCCCTTGGCTTGTGGGCCAACGTGCCCCCTAATGAGTATTAAAACACTATCTCCTTGCAATTAGCTCATTCCTGACTTCGCGCTCCTGATTGACAGAACAAGCCAAAGCATCAGAATTCTCCCTTTGGCAATAAGTGCTGATTGGGTCCTTTTTAAGAGAGCTACTTCAAACTTTTTTTTTTTTTTTTTTTTTTTTTTTAATATTTGCCTTCAGTGTCTTGGCTGAGAGAAGAGTTTTTTACCTCTCTGAGATTTTTTTTTTCCTTGAGAGTAGTAGAGGAAGCAAGAGAGGATTTACCTGGTCGGGTTGAGTTCACTTCATTTGACTTTTTTTTTTAAATTATTGTTATTATTATTATTAAAATAATCATCCTGCCTCAGAAGAAAGGAAGGTTTTTGGCAACTCTGGTTAAAAAAAAAAAAAAAAAGAAAGACAACTTTTCATCAATGGCCTCTTTTGGATATTTCCTGTTTCTTTGTGGGTTGAGTCAGGCTCTGTCAAGTTACCCAATCTGGTGGTAAGTTTTATTCTTCTTCTTTTTTTTTTTTTTTTTTTTCTCTCATTTTCATTTATTTTTCCCCTCCTCTGTTTTCTCTGCAACCCCTGCGCTTAAGATGACTTGAAATTCTCCTTTCGTTGCCACTCAGCTAAAGAGGTGGGATTGTTCCAGCGCCAGCAAGTTCTTAGGACCTGCATTTCACCTCTTTTATTTATGCATTCACTTTGTTTATTTTGACTGGGTTATACCTGATCTCTCCTTCTCCTACTGTAAAAGAGAGAGAGGGAGCGAGAGCGATCGGAAAGTTATTTTTTTTTTTTTTAAGTGCTTTGATCCTCTCCTGTGAAGAACAAAAGGCGCTGCCTGAATTAAAGAGATAATGATACAAGTTGACATGAGCATTTCAAGGTGATTTCGAGCTAGTCAGGTGGAAGGAAGGGGGGGAAAGGATGAAAACTTTTTTTTTTTTTTTCTTCCCCCCCCCAAGCCCCCCGGTCGCTTTAAGGGAATATTTAGGGGGAAAGAAAAAAAAAAAAAAAAAGAAAAAAAAAAAAAAAAGAGAAAGGAGGTGAGAGGAGGCTGAACAACCTGGGCTGGTTATGGAAAAGCAGAGCAGGGAGCAGAGACGGGGCTGGGGGAGATGTGCCCAGCGCTGCCGCGGAGCTGCCCCGCGCAAGATCAGCGGGGACCTGCGCACCCCTTTTTCTCCGGGATAACGCAGGTTTTTTGGCTGGGCAGCTCCTTTTTTTCCTCTTTTTTTTTTTTTTTCTTTTCTTTTGAGTTTTTTAGGGGTTTGGGATTTTGGGGAGGGGGGGGGGGGGTTTCCGCGCTTTGCACCCTACGCCTTTAAGAGGCTTTTCTCTGTCTCTCCCCCACAAAAAGCAAATGGTGCTGGGCAAGGCATGTAACTGCAAGATCTGCTCTAATTACCCCGCGGAGGTAATTGGGCTCAGGGAAGCCCTAGCGCGGGAAGGCTCCTGCTCCGCGGGCTGCTCGCGGCTGAGCGCGGAGCGGAGCTGCGCGGGGGCTGAGCGGTGCGCGGAGGCGCAGGCGAAGCCGCTTGGGCTTTGCCGTTCTGTCACCGGCTGCGCGGGTGCGGAGTTGTGCCCGGGTAGGGGAGCTGCTAGCTCCGCGGGCGCGGAGGGGAAGGCGGACCGCTCCGCGACCCGGGGCGGTGCTGTAAATAACTCCGAAGCGTCCAACCTCCCCCCATCCCCCCCCCCCCCCCCCCCCCAAAAAAAAAAAAAACCTAATAATAATAATAATAATTAATTTTTGGAACGTGCATTTCAACTCTGCCTCCCCCCTCATCTAACGAGGGGCGGTAGCGGGGGGTCAGGTGCGATCCGCGGGTGCGGTACCTCCGCCCGCGGCCGCGCTGCCCGGCGGTGCAGAGGTGAGGGTGTTGAAGGCAGCCTCTCCAACTATTTCAGGTATGTCTGAAAGCAGGGAATTCGTTGGGATGGGAGAAAAAGCAATAAAATGCAAATGTGTTCTTGGGAAGACAGGCAGAAAAGAGCACCTGGACGGGAGTCATTAAAAAGCAATCTTTTATTCCCAGCCACCATCTAACTTATAATTAGAAACTCGGGTTGCATTCCTGATTGGAGAAGGAAACGCATTCCTCTAATACCAACATAAATATTCTCTTGTCACCCACCGAGGGGAGAGGGGGGCAGAGCAGCCCCGGCCCCCCCCCCCCCCCCCCCCCCCCGGCCCCGCTCCCGGAGCTGCGGGTGAGGAGGGGGAACAGCCGGGAAGGAGTTGCTGGAAAGAGGGGCAGGAGGTCTTTATCCTTCACCCCTATCAGGTGTGTGCAGGGGGGAGCACTTTTGGGGGTGGTTTTTCCTTTTTTATTTTTATTTTTTTATTTTTTTTTTTAATCTATTTATTTATTTGTAGTTTATTTGGGTGTGGTTTTTTTTTTTTAATATTATTATTATTTTTCCTCTCCCTTCCATCCTTCCCCGGTGCCAACCAGCGGTTTTAGCTGTCGCAAAGACAGCAAAGCCCCCTTAGGCCATGGAAATGCAAAGGAGGTTTTGATTGGGGTGGGGGAGTCGGAGGAGAAGTCGGGTGCTGTTACATTGGCTGATTCAATTCCTCCCTCAACCCCCCCCCACCCACCCACCCACCCCAGCCCTTTCCCTCTTTAATTATCCTCAAGCAACTTATAAACCCACGAGGGTGGCTGGAGTTGGGGGACAGCCCTGGAGGCGGGCGAGTGGGGGGCTGGAGGGTGGCACAGGGGTCCCCCGGACTCATCCGTGCACGTCCCAATATCGGGAGCATTTTCTCCTAGTCAAGGACAGCCCGCTTCCAAACCAGCTGCTTTAGCAAATCAATCGTGCTGCTTTATTTTAATTTAATTTAATTTAATTTAAGCCTTTCATTTTGGGAGGGGGTTTGTTGGTTTTCTTCTTTGGGAGGGCCAGGATATTTTTTTTAGCGCAAGCAACAAACCTCTGGTGTCAACCGTCTCTGCTTAAAACCTCCCCTATATTCCCTCATAGCAACTTGGCTGCTTTCAGCAGAAAATCTGTAATTTCCCATACCCCCAAATTGTGCCCCCCACAAATAATAGTTTCTAATTAAAGCGTAAACTCATCTTAAAGCCCACGGAGCTATGGATACTCACACTGCTTTCAGCTTCAAGGCGATTTGAGCAGAAGCAGGGACAGAGAAGCAACATTCTCCTGTAGGTTTTGGTTAATTATTCTCCCACAGGGAAGAAATTAGGGGAAAAATCAAGTGTGCATTTGTCAGGGGGAGGAAGTGGGCATGTGTCTGTTACTGAAATTTCTGTCTACCTCTAAACAGAGCTCCTTACTTGGCTGAGCTGTTTAAATTGCTGTTCCCACCATGGCATAGGGGCACCTGTTTGAAATCAGGCTGCACAGTGCTGGCTGGGCTCCGCACAGCCCCGGACAAGTGGTACCTTCAGAAAAAATTCAGTGAAGCAAAACCAAAAAGATCCTCCGGGGCAGTGATGCTCTTGTGCTCTGTCCACCTCCTTTCGGCGACAATGCGGGGAAAAGCTCGGGGAGCATCTTAAAAATAGAAAATTTCCAAATAATGTCTTTACAAAGAGGGATAAAATAGGCTATAAAAGTAATTGTTTTGAAATAACAAAAGAAGAAGGCACTGATTCCCATTGGGACTGATGTGGCCAGTTTTTAGGGATGTGTTGGCATGATTTATTATAGCCCAGTAACCCCACAGGACCTTCTCCAGCACAGCATTGCGTTGTTCGACCTAAAGTTGCTACTGGTAGCAGCAACAGGCTCTTCCACACCCAGGGGGGCAGATTAAGTGCAAAAATGTGTTGGTGTTTTGTTTTGTTGATTTTTTTTTTTTTCCCAAACGTTAGTGTTGTTAATTTTTTCAGTCTGTTTTTAAAAAAAAAGAAAAGAGACTGGAGTGAGCGAAGGAAGATTTAGGAAATTCAGAAGCAGAATTCATGGGTGGGGGAGGATTAGATGTAACCTGTCCCCTGTCTTGTCGGGGTCTGGGGTCCATGTGGAGTCACAGTAGCAGCACAAACAAAATTCAGACTTTTTTTTTTCAGCTAACTTGCACTGCCTTGGCTGATTGGCTGATGGAAAAAAGCATTTTATATTTTAATCAGTGGCATGAGGCTTGACTTGGTCTGAGGGCAGCCAGAATGCAGCAATGATTCAGAAGGGAGAAGGGTTCGGTTCAGGAGGAAAAAAACAGCAATAAAAATTAACACAGAGCTTCAGTGCTGGGAATCTTAACCTCCTGTAGCCCATGAGGCTGGTACATGGGGAGATCTAATGGGAGGAGATTGCTGGGCTGAATTAAAAATGCAGACAGACTTCACCATGGGAGAAACCTGCCAGCTGGCACCTCAGACGTTGCTCTTTCAGGGGTGCGAGGCAGCTTGGTGCACGTTGAGGGGTGCAGATAGTTAAAGAATGTTCCTGGAGAGGGGTTGGAGGAGGACGTCTAGTGGGAGGAGATAGAAACCAGCTGGGACCTCGCATGGTGGCATCAGTGCTGTGTGTCCCTTCCTCTGTCCCCTTGGTCGTGGTGGAGCTGCTGTCTCCTCTGCTGCTCTCTGTAACACCCGGCTCGCATCCTAACTGGGGTGGGGGGAGATCAGCCCCGCAATGAACTGGGCGAGGAGATGAGCCATAACCACTAGTGCGGAGTGAATGCAGTGTTCCTGGAGATGCCAGGCTGGTATTTGAAAAGGGGACATCAAAGATGTGTGTTAGGAAAATTTGCCTGGCCGTGACTTGTGTTTGCTCTTGGCTTCTTACTGCTTATTCCCCAAGACTGGTCATAGAAGCTCTATTGGTTTCCTCATCCGTGTAGGATGACGTTGGCCAAAGCCTGTGATGTCCTGCAGTAACCACTTTACAGCCCATGAGGGTTGGAGAAAGTGATCTAACAGATCTTTCCATCTCTGTTTTTTTTTTTTTTTTTTGCAATTCAGGAAATGTAAGTGCACGGGAGCAGGGTGGGAGGGAGCCTTGCCAACAGAAAGACAAGTGACCTGGTGGCATTATCCCAGAAGCATGCGGGTGCTACACCTGAACGTGTCCCTGTCAGAGTTTGATGGCATCACCGTAATAAGAGCAGTGCACGGGTGAAGTCCTGGCTTGTGCTCTGGTTCAGGTCTCTCCTGGGATCTGTCCCCCTCGAGGCCGGTGCAACAGCCCCAAGTTTACACTGGGGTGGGCGAAAGCCAGGCCAGGTTCTGGATCCTACGAGAAGCTCCATTCTCCCTTCATTGCAAATCCTGGAGAACCAGGCTGAGTCTTGGCAGGCTCCACACTTGAGAAAGCAAAGCTTAGGTTTGGCAGAGAGCAACCGCGTTAAGTGAGAGATGATCATCCCTCCTTTTCCAGGAGGGAGGCAGAGCTGTGGAAGGTCACCCAAGGGACAGCCCGATCCGTGTGCCTTGGCACCGGAGCACCCAAAACAATCTCTAGAGCTCGGAAATGCGAATTGCACCTACCCAACTTCTCTGCTCGGTTAGCCGGAGTTGA